TCCAGAGTCATTGAGACCGAAAACATTAGAACTGTTACATATTGGTCATATCGGAATCGTCCGCATGAAAGCTGTTGCTAGGACATATGTTTGGTGGCCGGGTATAGATGCTGCAATTGAGGAGTTCGTCGGGTCATGTGAAGCATGTTGTATGAATCAAAAACAGTCGAAACAAATTTTTACCAACTGGGATGTAACAAGTGCTCCGTTTGAGCGTATTCACGCTGATTTTTGTAAATTTCAAAATTTGAATATTTTAGTAATTGTTGACACTTATTCGAAATGGCTAGAAGCTAAAATTTTGCGCAAAACTGACGCTATTACAGTCATAGAAGCGTTAAGATCTATTTTTGCTATTTTCGGGCTTCCGAAGAAAATTGTGACGGACAATGGTTCACCATTTAGTTCAAAGGCGTTTATAGAATTTTGCATTAATAATAATATCGAATGTTTAAAATCGCCACCATATCATCCGCAATCGAATAACACTGCGGAAAGAGGAGTACAAACTGTAAAAAGCGCATTAAGAAAGTATTTGTTGGATCCTAAAATTAAATGTAAATCTTGGGATTTTAAAATAAATAATTTTCTTTTGAGCTATCGTACTACTCCAACAACGACAACAAGGATGTCACCAGGAGATATAATTTTTAAATTTAAACCAAAAACTCTGTTAGATAATATAAATCCAAAAATTAAGAAAAATTTTAGGGAAAAGGAAAATACAAATAAATTGGAAATTGGTAAGTTTCAAAATGGAGGAGAAGATAAAGCATTGAGTAAGTTTGAAAATGGAAAGCTTAATTATAGTAAACTTATAAACTTTAAATTCAATGAAACGGTATTGTACAAAAATATTGCAAATAATTATATTAAATGGGTTCATGTAAAGGTGGTTAAAAAACTAAGTCGAATTAGATATTTGATATCCATAAATGGTGTATTCAGGGTTGCGCATATCAACCAAATGAAACAATATAAAGGAAAAACTGTAACTTTTAATCCTAGGGTCCATACGTATTTAAATGAAGACCTAACTTATAAGTTAGTTTCAAATACTTAGGTTGTTGATACAGCAAAACGTCTGTGACACAGAGCAAGGTGTGGATACTGAGAATGAACGTCTGGGGTTGAGACGTTCTGAGCGACGTAATAAAGGAAGACGAGCAAACTACAACTGAAGGAAATTAATTAATTAATAGTTTAGAATTTGAATTTAATTATTTGAATATAGAAAAGAAGTTTAATTAATAGTTTAGAAATTAATTAATTAATAGTTCAGAATTTGAATTTAATTATTTAATATAGAAAAGAAGTTTTTGAAATGAAATAATTATTTGAATATAGAAAATAAATTATTAAAATTATTTTAAAAATTAACTAAAATTACAACTAAATTTTAAATTAAATTCATAAAATTAAAATTAATTAAAATTACATAAGCTATGATGGAAAACTTATAGATTGTTGTAAATAAAAGTGTGGATGAGATGATATGTATGTGTTTGAGATTTGGCACAGCAACCAGGCGATATGGCATCACCCATTTAGTAGTTTTTGACAGCTGCAGTTTGAAGTTATATTTGCGCGTATGAAATTATTGTCTTTCATTTTTTTCATACATTTGTTGGTGCCGAAACCCGGGAGTTTCGGTTTTTAATTAAAAATTAAATTGCGTTTTTGACTTTATACGAAGAAAATATGGCTTCCTAAAATAGGCGTACAGCTGCATGGTCATTATTAAAGCGGGTAGCTGCAAAAATATTGGCGGATGACTGTGTTGAGGATGGCTTTGGCATGCAGCAAGATCGTGGCACATCTCAGGCTAATCATAAAACGCCAGGCTTACGTCTAATGAGGACAAACCTAATAGCAACTACTCCAGGCCACTGCCAGTTTTGCAATGACGCGGCGCACCAAATAGACAACTGCACCAGGCTATTGGCTTGCTCACCAGCGGAGCGCTTCACATTGCTCAGAGGCTCGAATCTTTGCTTCAATTGCTTGAAACCTGGACATTCCACTAAGGCATGTGGCTCAACTAATTGTCGCATACGCAATGGCAGGCATCACACTCTACTATGCCGAAGTTCACCAGCGCAAACTCCTCCCTTGCAAGAGTCCAAACAGCAGGCACAAACTACACCTCAGGCACCAGCGAAAACGAACCAGGTTGGCATCCCACCACGTGTGCATCAGTGACTACACCATCCAATGCAGACATTCGTTACTATAGGCAACAGCACAAATACGCATCTTAAATGGCTTTGGCGATATCGACTCGTGTCGAGCTCTATGCGATCCAGGCTCTCAGGTAAGTCTAATGAGTACGCGATATTTTAATCAACTGGCTCTGCGGAAGCAGGAAAGTGCATTGCAAATACAAGGCGTTGGCAGTGGCAATCGCTCATATATTAATGGCCGGGCAGTCTTGCGCATATTTTCGACTTTCAATGCTTCATTTGACTTGGATGTTGAATTCTACATCATCAACAAAATTACATCAGCAGTCCCTGTGGCTCCAATCATGGAAAACTATTGGCAGCATTTACGCAATTTGCCTTTGGTAGACCCGAAATTTGGCGAAACTGATGTTATAGATGCATTGCTTGGCTGTAACCCCCAGACGTATGGGGCCAATTGTTGGCAGATGGCATAGTTCGTGGCGAACTTGATGATCCTGTGGCACAAAATACGTAATTAGGCTGGGTTGTATTCGGACCAGCCGAAGCAACCGTGCATAACTACAAGGCGGAACAATCTATGGCATTGCGTGTGGAGGCGCCTGATGAGCGAGTTGATGACCTTCTACACAGGCTATTTGAATCCAAAGAAACTGACATGGCTAAAGGCGATAAACTAGGAGCAGTTGATCTTTGCGAATGCATTTTCATGAGCACACATAAGCGTTTTGATGATGGCAGTTATTGTGTACAAATACCATTTACACCAGATGCTCCACCACTTGGGAATTCACATCAGATGGCACTCAGGCAATTTCACCAGTTGGAACGAAAATTGGCATCCAACCCAGAGCTGACGCAAAGATATGTGGCTTTTATGCGCGAATACGAACAACTTGGTCACATGCACCCTATTCAGCATCATTCAAGCGACCCATCTCAGGCATACTACATTCCACATCATGCAGTCATGGCAAAATTCCGAGTCGTATTCAATGCTTCCGCAAAAACGTCGAATGGCATATCATTAAATGATACACAACTCGATGGCCCCCCAATACAGGATTTATTACTTAACCTTTTGCTTCGCTTCAGGCAGCATCGAATAGCATTCACAGCTGATGTCGAGAAAATGTTCAGGCAAGTCAAGGTTGACGAGAGGAACAGGCAGTGGTAACAGATCCTCTGGCGGGAAATTTTGTACAAATTTCCAACCTACATACTATGACTTGAATGTTGGATGTTTCTATAAATGAATTTATTAAATATAATTATTATTTAGAAAATTGGAAAACAATTATAAATACCTTTGCACTACCACTTTACACACGTCACTTTGAGTAATTTAAACAAAAAGGAAACGTAGTTTATATAAATAATTTTATTAAATTAATTATTAAAACTCCGATATTACTTATTAATTAATTTTACTTATTTTAATAAATTATATTCAATTTAATTTAAAAAAAACGCGCACATGTAAAAAGTAAAAATATAAACAAACATTTGCAAACGTCAAAAACGTTAGAATGCAATTCGCTGCAAAAAGATGCACAAGGAAGCTTTTGTGCAAAAGTGTTAAAGTGCATTAAGTTTAACTAAGATCAACTCAAAGCTTTGTGTACTTTACACATAAAGTTCAAGAGGATGCGTATAAAAGACGGCGCAATTTTCTAAGAATGGAGTGTGTCTTGTATGATCACTCGGTGGCATTGTATGTCAACATATAAAATAAATAAATATAAAAAAATTGTCTGACACAGTGGCAGTTTTAAGCCTTGTGTATAATCTATTTAAAATATATATATAATTGTTTACGAGTACATAGGCGGTTTTAAGTCCAGGTGCGGAGACACTTTATATACATATTCAATATAACAAGACATATATACATTCACTAACCCCATTTCGTCCAGTAGGTACTCATCGAGCAGGATAATCACCGAAATTATACTAGGGTACAACCACGAAACCGGATCAGCCACCACTGTGAACTCTAACCAACCTCTTTGAAATACGACTAAGGAAATACATTCAGAATTTGCATACGTTTAAAATCTCAAGTTATTGAAATACGAATGAAGAAATAATAATCTATATAAAGCTATCTTATATAAACCGTTGAAAATTGTACAAATTGTTGATCTCCAGGTTTATCTAGTTACGTTTATTTGAATTCTTTTCTTTATTACATATTATTTTATTGCATTATTAATATTTTAAATAAATCTGCATTGAAAATTTAACCGCCGTACTTTTATTTTGAGAAGTCCTGTCTCCGCGATTATAAATTTATTGTAGCGACCCCCTGGAAAAGACTGAGGATACCCCAGCATAAATTATAACGAAACTGAAAAATCCGTGTCGTTACAGGCTAAACTTTCATACAAAAACTCTGGCTGACAAAATTGGCATGAGACGACCCATTACCACTTGAACTGTTGCAAGAATGGCTCATATACTGAAGGCAGCAGTCCTAACTGGAGGCAGTGCAAATACCGCGTTGGATAGACATGCAACCCGGATATCAAATACAACTTCACGGCTTCTGCCATGCTAGTGTCAAGGCAATGGCTGCAGCACTCTATTTGGCAACAAACCACAATGACAATATCACTAGTCACATTATCGCATCAAAAACTAAAGTGGCACCATTACATTCGGTAACAGTACCCCGCTT